TCTCTCTCTCTCTCATACTGGGTGAGTTGTAGGCGGCAGTGTCAGTGAGATATGCGGTGGGTTGGGCAGACAGCAGACTGACAGGGAGGAGCTCCAGTCACAGCAGCCTGCAGACCCTCCCAGCACTGTGGAAGGAAGCGGAAATAAACGTCGTAAACCTTATGCTAGTAGCTACGTTCAGGCTCCTAGGACGGGGTGGAAGCGACATCAGACGTACATCGTTTGTTGCCTCAAAAGAGGAAACAGGGAGTGGATAATTACACGATAGGGTTTTTGTGTGTTACGGTGGCAGCATCGAAACGGAATATCTCGAGTGGTGAGTTTTCCTGATTCTTTCTCCTTACATAAAAGTTGTGCACTCTTCCCTTTCGCGACGCAGGCTAGGCAAGTTGAGTAACGTTAGCGGGGCTAACTGTGCCACTGAGCTAGCAACAACAGCTTGCGCTATGAGGGGAAAAAAAAAAAAAAAAGGTGTTTTCTTCCTTTCACATTTGCCAACGTGAAGCTAGCTCACAGGCCTCGAGCGTCAACAAACATGGTCGTGTTTGTGGTCAGAGTGGACACTTCTTTTGAGCGGTGTCATCGTCCGTCTGCCCGCGGTGGTGATACATTAACGGGGTGAAGTTTGAGAAGCACACCGCGGCGCAGTTATTGTTGTCCGACCGTTAGCCGGCATGCTAGCTGTAGCGCTCCAGAACGCTGGGCGCAGGCTGTTCGATGGAACGGACTCGATCCACTCGAACTCGGTGGGAATAAAAAAAACGGTGAAAACGCGGTCCGGTGCTCAGTGTGGCACATTAGTACCGGGTGGAGACATCTGACAGTGTTGTGGCGGTAACACGTCATGAGGCGGTTGTGGATTGTAGAGGAGTTTAGAGGCAGTCTGCCCTCTGTGGACTTCAGCTTCCCTTTCCATTACTTTGCCTTAACCAGCATTACTTCTGTCTCTCCGCTTACAGTGGCCATGGGTTGAGTTGTTGACAGTTGTACTACTGTAAACAACGGCTGCAGTCACATTTTACGACTTGTTGTGTCCGTACTGTCAAGTGACTGCTGTAAAAGTCATCGACTGTTCCAGCTAACCCATTATC